TGAGACTTTTCAGGTGTCCACTGGCCAGTCGGGATAAGCAAGTGTTGGTTTGCCTGTCACCAGGAAGAGATAGAGAGAGTCCTGGTCTTTTTGCTTTATACCAGTAGTGAGTAGGTGGAAGCAGTCACTTTTGTTTGTTCTGGGCCTTTTGCCTTGCGAAAAGTTCAAGGTATGTAAGCTCTGAGGTGGAGGGGACTGGATGGACTAGTCCCTTCTTTGCGAGAGTGTCAGCCAACTCGGTATATGTATTTATTTTGAGGTAAAAATTTCAAAATTATTACAATAAAATGAGGGGAAAAAATCAGTCGAAGAGAGAAAAAAGTTTATTGTATCCAACTTCCTCACTTTTTTGGTTCACTATATCCACAAAAAATAACATTATAAAAAATAACATCATGTATAGCAAGGCACGGGACCGAACATTTCGTTCACTATATCCGGGAGTTCACTATAAACCGTGTTCACTATAGCGGGGTTTGATTTTATACATATATATTATATATATAACATAAAAAGCTTCAATTAATCTTTTTATGTTAGTTCTTTTCTGTAAACCTTTTATTTTATCATTCTAATCAAAGCGCTTTCTCACACTTTTAAATTCATATCCCATTCTTAAATCTATTTTTGGCTGAAGTATGCATACAATTAAAAGCAAGATATTTTTCCCTTTGCTCTCCGTGGGAACCGCTCGACCTATTTGATAAGCCAATTACAATTACTAAGATTTCCCTCATTCCCTAATTTAAAACAGTTTACCGATTTACTTTGCAAGATTTTCCCTAACAACTAATCGACTATTAACAACAGTGATTTTATTTCAATGAGGCCCCTTCTAATCAGAGAAACAGCGTAAATATTTGAAACATGCATCCATGTTTGATTTTCGTTGTTTTTATTATGTTCACTAACGGCACAAAATTAAATTGCTTTTATTTCACTGGACACACTAGATAACTGAAATAATTTCGCTGAGAATCTCGAAATTACGAATATATAAAATTTACGTATAAACATTTAAATTAGCATTTAGATCTAGTAAAGGCACTGGCATTGTCATAATTGAGTGCCTGTGTGCATTGTATTAAAAATAGATTATACAAGTTTACCAAATACTAACTAAATCATATTGTTATTTAATTTTGTGACTACAATTGGATACCATCTGACTCTGATGAGCCCCACGCACTATTTTGAGAGTGTATTATAATTGTTGAATGGTTATTATTTTTGCATTATATCCATTTATGATCAAATCAAATTTTATTAAATTCTGTCCAGTAGCTCTGGAAATAATCGGCCCATTATAAAAATTCGTTTAATTTTAAACACCAGTGTTGCAAGCTATATATCATCATCTTCATCATAGTTGGCCAGACAGTCCAATGTGGGCCAATGCCTTCCTCTGAAGATTTCTCCATAGTGACTTTCGATTTATCTTTGATCTCCAATTCTTTTCATTCATTGCAAAAAAATCAGACTCCACTGAGTCAGCCCATCTCAACCGCGGTCTTCCCCGCTTTCTTTTTCCAGTGGGTCTAAAAAGCAGTATCTTTTTCATTGTATTGTCATCACTCATTCGAACCACGTGGGATATCCAATTCATTCTATTTATTTTCATGTATTTAATAATATTGGGAGAATAAAAGTTATATAAAGTAAAAATAAATATCATATATAAAAATATTATTAAATCATAATAATAAACATTATATATAT